AATAGAATTAGAAACTATGAAAAGCAATCAATTTCGCCAAATTGATTTGACATAGATGATCCCTGTTTCATTGATATTGAATTCTTTTTTTGTACAACAACATGAGAAGTGAGATGAAATTCCAATATCCTGTCTTTTGCTTTGGAGACCAATTTTTTACTCTTGTTTGCAATTGTTCTCTTTTTATTACTATCTCTGTAATTAAAGGGTGTGGTTATCTAGTCTGCATGATGTGGGTCCCATGTGACATATTAGCATGTAAAATACAATGTTTGTTTACACAAAATTCAATTTTGTACATGTTAATGCTTTAAGAAAGTAACCAAAATTTGCCAAAAAATGAGCTCAACTAGAAAAGATTACATGTACTTTTGTAAAGGAGACAAACATTAGTCGAATGCTTGATGATATGTATATTTTATTTTCACTGAAGTGGAAGGCAGAACAACAACAAATAATTCTAATTTTAGTGTCAATATTGATTTGTTGAAATCAAATTCTTACAGAAGATTTCACCTCAGTTTCAGAAATGATAATTTCCTTATAATCTGATTTTGAAATATAAAAATGGAGATATATAAAGGTTTCATTGATTTTTTTAATTCACAAATATGAGAAGTAACAAAAAAAATCAATTGCCATATGCTGAAATGAGTGCAAGTGCAGCAGCTGGACTTGATTTTTTTTATTGTTTCACATTTAAAAAAAAAAGTCTGTATTTCAATTTTTGGGCAGTACTTTATACCAAAGTCCTTGAATAGAGGGGGTTGTGTATATACTACTATATAACTATAATCACTAGGATACATGTATTGACATAATTTTAATAGTTTCTGTGAGAGTTCATTAAAAGCTATGAATTCTATCATAAATCCCAAATATTGTTATAAAATATTCATTTAATATTATGTTTTTAATAAGCTAATGTAGTGAATTAAGTGCTGTCACCCTCATGGATTAATTTCTGTGTGACACACAACATAGCAGGAATTACCGCGAAGTGCCGCTGGCACACATCTTCACCTGCTACCGTATTGTTTTCCAATATATATAAAGGAATTGATCTATTCTAAATTATAAAGAAATAACAAACTCAGATTTTCATGACATTAAAATCACTGTTTGTTCTTTTTCACAAAATTAACTTGTACTATTTTTTTCATTTAAAAAAAGAATTTTTTTTATCTAGAGCAAACATGGAATCATTTGCATTTTGTATAAAACAACAATTGTGCACAAAATTATGTTCACCAATATTTTGTCGGTTGATTATTGTTTTGAAAGGTATTTTATATAGAATGAGTATGACGTCAAACCTGACAAAATGATCAGAATTTCTTATCATTATTAATAAAAATGATCCAAAGTGTAGATATAAATAATAATTTACCATATGTACCTTGTGTCTACCCCCAGTGGTGACGATACATGACTCATTGTCATCATCTATTATGACAAAATTTAACTCAAGGACAGGTTATGCAAATAATTCTGTTTATTTGAAGTTTTATCTTGAATATTATTTATTTTTATGTATCCAATATAGGTATCCAAATGAAAAATCATAAATTTGTCAGAAAATTGAAATATACTACTGTAACATACACTTTTTATCAAGCAGCATGTTTTACTGATGTTTAATATACATTCCTGTTGATGATGTCATGCTTTTAAATGATGACAATTTAATAATAATAACTTTAATAACTTTATTACACTACTAAAAAAACCTTCAGAGGGTTTTTGTATGGTAAGGAACATAAATACATACAATACATAAGAGATAAAAATAAAATGTTAGTAAAATAAAATAAAAAAATAAATTAATTACTTTCTGTGGTTTTAAAAATTGTGCTCTTTAAGTATTTTGCTAAAGCTATATTATTCTCCATAATCTTTTTAAATATGGAATTCACATCCATTGTGTAAATATTTATTGCACACTCATCAAACAGTTTTTTTCTTTGTTCTATATAGCCAGTACAAAATAGCAGGAAATGTTTTTCATCTCCTAATGCTTTAGTGTTACATTTATTACAGTGTCTATTTTCTAATTCTATTTTGGGCTTTGTTCTTCTACCTAATTCTATTTCTAAGTTGTGGTCACTCAGACGGAATTTTGAAAGCATTTTCCTGAGGCTGAAATTTGAAATGTTTTGCAAATAATTTTCCATATTATAGCTTACTTTGAATAGTTTGTATGTTCTCAGTTTTGTTCCCCTATTTTCATTGGTTTCACTGAAATTTAGTTTTTCTCTCCATCTTTGAATATAAAACTCAGATAGTCTGAGTTTTACTTTTTTTAGTATTTGATTCCAATTTTCCATATTGTGATCATTTTTTATTTTAATTAGATCATGTCCCAGTGTAGCATTAATAGT